TGACCGACCATCAACATATGTGTTACAGATATCGTTCGGTTCTCCGGAAACCGATACTATTGCCCAAACAGCTACTGCGGCCGAAACTACAAGAACAAATGCAGTCTGACCTATCACTTGAACAACGAGTGTGGTGTCAACCCCAAGTTCAAGTGTCAGTTTTGTTCCAAGACGTCGTGCCGGTATTCTAATCTCAAACGGCACATTTTATCTGTGCACAAATTAAAGGAAGACCAACTCACACCGCCGGTCACGAACTTCTCCGATGTTCCTAAAAATCATCCTTTAATTTAAACCATTTTATTATTATGTTATTATATTTATATTATTCCTATTTGTTTTTACTCGGTGTTAAAAATAAAGTCGTATATTCTTATGTTATTATAGTCGTTGACTCGAATTAGTTCCAAATATTTGAAACCAATAATAATATTTGTAATCAATAGTAATAGGTATCCTTATGGTTTTTATTTAAAAACTACAAAAAAAAAACCTATGGCAGTTTTTAATTAAAAATAAAAACAACACATTTATTAATACTACCGAAAAATCTAAAAAAATATATTATATTTATAAGTACAATTTGTTTCTATAGATGATCAAAAACAAATGTATCTATAAATATTAAAATTGAGTTCCTTATACGTTCACTTTTCATCGTTAGTATCGATTTGCGTTTTTAATTCTCTGATTATCATAATGATGCTAACACTTGTGATTTTAGACAAATAAAATACATATATTTGTACAGGTATTTGATAAATTACAAAATATAGAGCAAATTGCCATATGGATTTAATATGTACTTATAAAATATCTCTGTACTCTATAGATTATGTTCATATTAAGTATGATTTATGTATTTTTAGTTATTTCGGGATATTAATTTTCTATGATATTTATCGAGCGCATATTCCACTCCAGCGGAGAAGCGTCAGGAGTGGAGAATTGCTGCCAACCTTTGGGCTGTTAACAAAAAAAAAAAAAAAATTCAAGTTAAGAAACGTGTGCAATACTTTTGTATGCGCTTGTCCAAATGAAATACACGCGTTTTGATTTCTGCTCAGCACACGCTTCTGAACTTGAATAGAGAAAAGAACATTATAGGTATGGAAAATAGATAAAAAAGGAATGTTTTTTTTTTTTTAATTTCGGCATAAAGTATAGTACAACACATTTTATATATATTTAAATAGGCGTAGTTAGTCGAAAAGACTTATAATAAAAAACGTGGGTACGCCATACTGACAACATACAGCATATCTATAATGCTTGGGCCAAACGATACGAGTAATGTCGGTTGTTAATTTTTATAACGCACTAATTCAAATTAAAAAAAAAATGAGCATGTTATTGTTTCCCGTGTTATTTTTTCCGCCAGTCTTGTTTGTATCCTATATAATAATACATTTGCATTAATGTATTCATATTAATTGCTTTGGCCAGCGTGTGGCAAGTATGTAAGTGCTACACATGAATCATGATCGACTCGATAAATTTTTTTACACGTTAGCTGCTGCTATGCGAAGTGCCGGTGGTTCCAGTTCAAGTTGCTCCCGAATAATTGAACTGTGACCGCCGGCAACTAACGTCTTGTTTATTTTTAACATTTATTTAGTTTTTTTTTTGCATTGTTTTTTCAGGCTTTTATCACTGTAGCGGTTGCCGGCGCAAATACAGGAACATGGGCAGTCTAATCAGACACAGGCGGTATGAGTGCGGAGTGGAACGACAGTTCAACTGCGAGATTTGTCTCAAGTCGTTCACTAGGAATACAACGCTCAGATCTCATCGAATGCACGTGCACAATATCGTAATCTAAGAGTCAATAATGTTTTGTTCTTTAATAATTCCTAGTACACAATAATTATGCTGAACGTATCACGATGATCTGGCAGAATACGTATGTATAGATTTACAATTTACATAGGTCCTACATGTATCAATCTGTCCGATCATCGGGATACACCATCATGCATGTACTATAATTATGTGTTAACCCGTTTTTTTGTTAAATGTTTGTACTTTATCATTATTGTGTAAACGATAACTAACTAAATTGTGAAAAAATAAACATTTTATTTTAAATACAAATAACGCTTTTAGTTTTTTGTGGCGTGGTGTTGTTTGTATAGCGTCTGTCATAGTGAGTGTCATGCGGGTTTTGTTACTCTGTGGTCTGTGCTAGGACAGGGAAGTGTTTCCAAACTATTCGGGTTTAACTGAAAATGTGTTCATTAGGTAATGATGTACGTTGTAAAAATGTCATATAAATAATTATTGACATAATATAATAAGTAAAAATACTTTTACATTTTTTTTTATATTATGCAACAATACTTTTTCTCGATTTTCTACCAAAACTTAAAAAAAAAAAAGCTGCAAGAAACTATATAATTGTTATTTATTTATTCTATATGTGTTTGCAGAATCCATAAATAAATCGTTCGCTCTAACCCGGTTCGCCTGCCCAAATCCGGGTTGTGGTAGCAGCTACAAAACTCAGGTCGAGTTGAACAGGCACTTAAGACACTTTTGCGGCCAAGCTCCAAAGTTCCAGTGTCCGGTTTGTCACAAGAAGAGCAACAGAAGGGACAACCTGAGAAGACACATGTTGTTTGTGCATAAAATGACATGAACATCTGTTGTCGATTGTTTTTCAACAATTCAATGGCGCTCGGGAAAAACGTGCTAAGTCTAAAATATGCGAAAAATAGTTTATCTAGATTCGGAAAAAAACTTACAATTTTTTGGGCAAAATGATCTAAGTCATACAACGATTTTATCAGCTGTTATATATTTGAGAATTTGGATTTTTACGTTTTGTGGTACACAGTTTTGAATTTTCAATTTTGAGTACTGAATATTTTTAATTTTAGACAGCACGTTTTTCGAATTTATATTCAAGACGTACCAAAGTCATTGGTGAAATTTGCATTGTTAATAATATCCAGAACATTATGTGTTTCCACTCATTTAACATGTTTGATAGTTAGGTATTTATTAAGTGGAAAAAAAAAATTAACTTATGTCGACCTGTTTTTAAAATAAGAATTTGTTTTTTATTTAAATAAATCCTCTTGGATAAGAAGTGGAGTTGTGGTTAAAAGACATGTTTAATCATCGTTTTAAGACATCTTTAATCATCGTATAATATATTTTAGAATTTTTTATTCGAGCTATATATTCTACATTAAATAGGTTCAAGATTTAAGAAAAGCGCATAAATTATAATTCAATTCTACTAATATTTTAGAGATACGCGGACTGAGACTTAGACAACAGCTATTATTCAAAACTATTCATATTTTAATATATACGAGTATAGCCTTAAAAATAATTGATATGGATTATATTTTTGAAAAAAATTGTAAATATGCGATTTAAAATTTTGTTGTATACCTGTATGCCCTGTTTTGTAAATGTAGTTAACATAGTTATCGCTTGAATTTGTTTGTTTTACTTTCTACTAGTAGATAACACTATGCCATTTTTTAAAAATAAATTTATAAAATCAGTACACCAACCTACAATATTACTATAATTGTGCATGTTTTTCATTATACAATTATCAGTTTGGCTTAACTGCATGACGATTATTTTTAAGGCGATTTCCACCTATTGTTACTGGACTAATAAAAATGTATAACTTTTTTATTAATAATTATTTATTTTGTATTACAATTTTACTGTCAACATTTATTTTAATTACCAATTTATAAATCATAGAGATGAGCTTTTTTTGAATAACTTGTATTAATAATACGTGTTTAAATATTCTATATCATGTATTTAGATACATTACTTTTTCTATTGTATCAAGTATGTTATGTTAATTTTAAATAAACTCATTTTAAATTTGCAATATTTTACCACAGTTGTAAGATTTTTTTGTAAGTTTTTAGATTTAAAAACTGTTACAATCTTTATTAATAATAATTAATAAATAAATAAATAAGGAATTATAACTATTAGTTAATGACCGATGAAAATATTATTAATGTGGACTTGTATGATTAATTTAGAAAATCAATTGTGTGTGATTAGAAATGGATTAGAAAAGAGTTATCATTCAATAATGTATAGTTGTGGATAATTATTCGGATTTTATGCATGTTGTTGGTTAGATATTTGTGTATTTAAACTTTAAGCACAAAAGCTCGTTAATAATTTATGGGAGACTAACACTGAATAATGCTAAGCGCTTTTTTTCAAGAAAGAACAATGTAAAAAATCTTTGCATATAAAAAACAATGTGTCGCTAACCATTTTTACTAAGTAATAAAATTCTTGATAAGGTTGATGATTGATAAGATTTTATTTTTGTATTTATATATATATATATATATGGTATTATATGTTTAAATTGTTACCAGTTTTACTACAACTGCAATTTTTTGTTTAGATCGGAACCGCGCACCGTTCTACTGTCCAAACCAGTGTGGTCGAATGTACAAGAGAAAAGACAGCCTAACCAGACATTTAAAGTACGAATGTGGCGTAGAACCGAAGTTTCGTTGTGATTTCTGCCAGAAACAATTCGCCCAAAAGATCCACCTAAAGTCTCATTTACTGGGCATTCATAAAATACTGACGCAATAGTTTGAATTTATTTTTAATTAAAAGCTTTTTTTTTTGTATTGCGTTGTTTCTTTATAAAATATATTAATTTGATATTTATTAACACCGCATTACCATTATTAAATCGATTGATATTGATACAGTAATGTTGAACGCAGTGAGTGTATTTTGGTCATGCATGTGTGCAATGTGCATTTGGATGAAAATTCGAAAGTATATTCAGTTCGAATGTTTTACTATAAATAACAAAAACCCCGATCGTCTGTTCTATTTTTTTTTGTTCAATAACAAAAATATTTTGTCAGAAAATTAATTGTAATAAGAGCTGTTAAATTTTTTTTGATTGTGTTTCAGCGCTAAGAGGCAAAGGATTTTGGTGTCCAAACAAGTGTGGGAAAAGTTACAAACATAAAAAGAACATGAGGAGTCATTACTTGCACGACTGCGGTAGGCCACCTCAGTTTGTTTGCACCATATGCTTGAAGAATTTTCGCAGAAACGAACACTTAAGAAAACACATGATACTAGTCCATAAAATTATGATTATGATATAAGCTTACGCTCCGCGACGAAAAACATATTATCCTGTATCGTTACCCATTCCTAGTAAACTATTTTTGTATTTTAATTAATTTTTTAATACCGGTTTTAAATTGTTAAGTAATATAAAATTTCTAGTCCAATGTAACCTTCAAAAACTATTCTTTATCGATCTCTATTCTCTACCGTTAATTGTTTGTTAATTTGTTTATTAATAGTCGTTTATACTTAAGTGGTTATTCTTTCATTGTTAAGTTTTTATTTTTTTTTATCAAAAAATAAACGTTTCAAGAATAAATATTGACCTACCGTGTTTGTATACATCTTCATTTTAGATTCTATTTTAGAGTTGGCAAAAGACCTCACTGGTAGAATTTTTCGACTCATTCCAGGCTCAGCAAAATGTTGGTTATAAAGTTTTAACCAAAATAATTGCATTTATTTGGATTTATGTGAGCCTAAAAACCCTTAACTGGATTGGTTTATTTGAATTAAAAAAACGGAATTTCCCCTAACTCTGTTTATTTAACATATTTTATTTCTTATTGAAATCCTGGTTTTGGAGTTAATCTAATAGGTTTGATCTTAAGTTATACTAATTGATTGTTGTTTTTTAGATTTATGGATTTTTGAGTACTTACAGTTGCATCGAGTCAAACAGTGGTAACTACGTCTATAAACTCAAAATACACTCATTAATTTTAATAAATAAGTTTCTAAGTTTGTATTTTTACCTTATTAATAAATGTATATTATTATATATGTTGGTTATGTTTCAGTAAAAATATATCACCAGAATCAATTATAAAACGCACTAGGATACTTTGATTTTGCGGTGCGCCATTTGTCTTGTAGGTTTTGCTGTCATGGCAGCTCTTAAGTTGTGATAATCCAATGTATGAAAAACCTAATGAGATAATAATTTGACATATTCCAATATTTAATTCCCTGTAGGACTAAAAACTAATTTCTGCACAAGACAATTTGAGGTTATTGTGTTCTCGCAATTAATCCTAGTATAAGTATAGATCGCTCGTTGTTTTACATCAGTTTAGTTAGTGTAACACTGTAGTGTAGTATACATTTAAATACAAGTATTTTATTTTGATGTGTAGACACCTAAAACCTCTATTTTTTAAAAGCTTCAGAAAATAATTACCGACACCGGCACATGGTGAACCCGGTAAGAAAACTTGTCATTAATGTCATGACTGTTTAATAACTTGTCATTAATGTCATGACTGTTTAATGCATAATATAATATTTGTATTGTGTATGTGTTGTGCATTTTTTTACTAGAAATCGAGTTCCTATTATTAGTTATTTGTTGCATACGTCTGCAGTTTTTAAAATATTAACGCGTGTATCGCAATATCAAGTACTTATTCTATTAACATTATTAACGATTGTGTTGTCTGTAGAGGATGTAGAAGAAGGGCGTTGGATTTGTCCAAACGTATGCGGTCGCAGCTACAAACACAAAGGTCACTTAAGTTTTCATTTAGCTCGTGAATGCGGAGTGGGTCCACAATACACATGTGCACAATGTCTGAAGCATTTTAAGCGGATCAGCCACCTGAACAGTCATTTGTTGTCGTGCGGTAACCCGGCGCCTCGTTTTCAGTGTGACATTTGTTGTAAGATGTTCACGCGCAAAGACAACATGAAAACACACAAGTACACTGTGCATAAACTGGCGAAGCCTGCTGCCAACACTTACTGGCAAACCGGTAGAATTCACAAATAGAAATCCGATCAATAACTATTTAAAAACACAAAAAAATGCATTAAATTACAATTTTGTTGTACGAACATTGTAGAATAACCTGTTGTCAACTTTTTAGTTTTATCTTCAAAAACAAATTGCTCGAAAGACCGTTCGGAAAAGATTCCGTAATTAATCTTATATTCGTTGGTTATGTTTATATTTGTCATTACAGCACATATATTATATACAATAAATTATACACGTATAATATTAACACATTCACGCTGCTGGTTATAACTTATTATTTATTATTATTTTGGCGACATTTGCTTTCCAGCTTCGACTAACCTACTTTTTAATTATTAAATGTTTTACCGTTTATGATAAATGTTTTTTTTCCAGATAAAATTACAAGGAAAGAACCAAACATCACGAAAAAAGCAAAATCAAAAAAAAAGAAGAATGAGAAAGCAAAAAAAAACATGGTGTGTGCTGTTTGTTCAAAATCGTTCCAAAACAATTCTTCATTAAATAGACATTTACACACTCATGTACGATCTAAAGGTATTCTCACACAGTACAAATGCGAAAATTGCGACAAATATTTTGCCAAAAAACAAAACATGAAAACACACAAAGCTCTTTTACACGGAGTTTTGGAATAATCAAAACAAAATTGTATCCTATAAAATGTACTTAAAAAAAGTGTCAAATTTTGTATTCTTTTATACTTTTTAATGTTTGTGACTTGCAGCCAGCATAATATTTAAATTAAATCCTGTTTGTATTGTATAACTTACATTTTATTTATGTTTTGATCTCCATATGAAGTAAAATTATAATTTATAATTAAATATCTTTTAAAAAAAATGTGTACTTATATCTACTTTTATAACTTTTGATCAAAAAACATGTTAATATTAATTGTAAGATAGTCGCATACTAGTTTTATAAAAGTGTAATATTATTTGTTGAAATGTATGAAAAGGTGTGCGGGAAGTTCTTTGAAAAACAAATATTTGAAATTACTATTTTTTAAAAGACTAGGAAATTATTTTGTTTGGAAACGATGTGTTACAAAATCGATAAATTTGAAGCTGACAAATATTAGAATCGACATTTTATTTTTGGAACATGTGACTTTAGCTTGCAATCCTAGGATATTTTTGGTTTAGTGGAGCAAAGGGAGCCAGTGCCCAATCCCCGATGACCTGCATTTTATTTATTGTCATATAACAGAGCCGACAGCAAAATATCGATTTAAAATTTATTGCTTTGTTTCAAAGATTATTGTTTCAAAATAATGTCGATTTCAATTAATGTCAATCAAAATTAAACGATGTAAAATATCTTTGTATATAATGTGTCGCTAACCATTTTTACTAAGTGGTAAAATTCTTGATATTATTGTTAACAAATTTACTACAATATCTGAAATGTTTTGTTTAGATCAAACCCGCACACCGTTTTTCTGTCCAAAGCAGTGTGGTCGAATTTACAAAAGAAAAGACAACCTTACCAGACATTTAAAGTATGAATGTGGTGTAGAACCGAAGTTTCGTTGTAATTTCTGCCAAAAACAATTCGCCCGATGTCATCATCTAAAGTCTCATTTGCTGAACATTCATAAAACACTGATGTAATAGTTCGAATCTGTTTTTAATCAAAAGCTTTTTTTTGTATTGTCTTGTTTGTTTTCCAAATAATTTATCGAACTTAGCAAATTGAACCAGCAAATTGTTCAAAGATACTCTGATTCAAACAATTGACCGATCAATATAGTAATATTCAAAGTTTTAGCATGCGTCTCCAATAACATTTCTGTATACTCTCGTCACTTGGTGCTGTGTAAAAAAAAAATATATTTTCTGTATACTAAAATTTGTAGACTCTCAATTATGCATGTATGATTGCCAAAAATCAAAACGATTAATAATAGTTCGATGACATACTTGGTATTTTTCTTTCTATCTAAATTTAATTACATTTGTGTTTGTTGCATTATTTAAAAAAAAATGACAATAATCACGATATAGAAAAGTGAGTTGACTTACGGAAATTAAGGGTAAATTATTTCTATCATTTACTCGCGGTGCATGCCAGTTTTATATGGTCATCAAAAGATAACACAATAAAAAAATGTATTTTTTAGGCTAGTCCGAAGTGCCGCTAGTTCTTAAAATAGGTACACTGATTGAGTAAGCGATAAGTTTAAATCTTTGTGTGCCCTTTATATTAAGTGAAACAAATCAAATCAACTTTATTTCGAATAGTCGCATTCAAACTAGCCCAAGAATTCGATGGTTCTGTCATAAAGTAATCTAACTATTTTGCTTGTGTTCCAATTAACTAATATATTTCAAACTACTTAACACATCTGATCGAACTCGTGAGATCATCGTGCATTAATGTTTTTAAGTTGTCAATTATGATGGTTTTAACGTATATTGTGTTTTACTTTTTTAGAGTTATTAACTGTACAAACGTGGATATGTCCTAACGATTGTGGAAAAATGTATAAGCACAAAAGCGGATTGTATCGTCATGTAAATACGGAATGTGGCATTCCACCCAAGTTTAGTTGTGACCTTTGTGCAAAACTATTCCGACGAAAAGCTAACCTATACCTCCATAAAGCAAGCGTTCACGGAGTGTGTCACCATTAGTCATAACTTATGAATGTTGTAACGTTTATAACCCCTTAATTTTTGTTTTTCATTTATCAGTATAAAAAAGAAAATTGTCTAAAATTTGTTTTTATCGTAATCCCAACAAAGTTTACTACAATCCTTCACCGATTTAATGACATACATTTGTCTTGAAAATGTGATGACAATTTTATTATCTATGATATAATAGTGTAGTCGCTATGATCAAAAAAACAATATTGTATCCAGTGTCAGTGTATATAGTTCATGTACCATCGATGAAATTGCTGTAAAGATTAAAAATAAAACTTCTCGGATGTATCTCGTTATTAAATGCAAACGTTCCTAAAAATTTGTTTCTTATTTATTTAATTTTTTTTTTGTTTAACTCGCAAATATATGTTTTCAATGGATTTGCAATCGCTTTACACTTTATGCCACAAGATTTCTTCTTAAATCGGTCGGCTATGCACATTGCGCATCCCTTGGCCGTAACATCGCTTATTGTATACCCACCATTTGGGCGGCTAAGTAACGTGGAGGGGATATATGACGGACCACTATGAGTTCTTATGGAATAGGTGTTGTACTCATTTAAAGCCTGGTAGAATATTATACAATTAATAATTTTTGAACAAGTTAATAACTGTAAAGTTTATATTTGAGTAACGTTTATAGTTTTGATAAATACACGGGGTATAGAGAATTCGTTTTAAGACTATCGAATTAATTATGTTTTAGATATGATCCACTTCAATGGCAGATGGATGTGCCCGAATAAATGTGGCAGGAGTTACAAACAGAAGTTTTCGTTGAATCGCCATTGCCAAAAGGAGTGCGGTGTTGAGCCGCAGTACCGGTGCAGGATATGCAATAAAACGTTTAAGCGAAAAGAATCGCTTAAATCGCACTCGGTGTTGATACATAATGTGATAAACTCTTCAAAAAATGTAATAAGTGAATCGGATTATATGTATTGTGGCACAGTTGTTGGAACTAAAAAGGCTACCTATTGAACATAAATCTAAATTATAAGACTGCATTTGCTATACCTTCACTCCTAAATGTATTCATGAAACAGTATAAACATTGTATGTTATTTACAGATTTAAAATTAATGTTTCATTAGTTTTAATTTATTAATTATACAGTGAGACTTGTAGGAGGTATATTTTTATGTTTTTGCAATAAAATATTATCTTTGGTGTTTATTAGCTTCATTGTTTGTTTATTGTGTATAATATATGTAATACATTAAATGTATTAAAATCATCATGGCCATAAAATAACTAAAAGATAAACTAATATAACTACTGGAATAAACATATTATAATCAGTATAATTTATACGAAATTGATCTAATAAGTTACCTTTCGAAAGTTACAGTCTAAACTTTAATATTTTTTCTTCTTCTATAGTTGGTCGTCTGGTATTTGTTTTACCAGAAGTCCTGAGTTGATAAGTGGTGTTATGGTTTGCGAAAAAAAATTACAGCTGGTCTTGATTTCCTACATTGTTTATTGCTATGTAATGTTTTTAACATATTGCATCATAATATTTACATACCTATTTATATATTTTGTTATTATTAAAGTAAATACCATATTGATTTTTACACAATAATAGTAGTAAATAAGTAGGTATTTGTAGCAGTGTTGAAGAAAATTATTATTATGAGTTATTATTTTTTAATTATTGTATTATATAATCGTTTACTAATTACCCTATTTTATTGGTGATGTGTTCACTATAGGTAAAATATTTAACTGTTTAAATGGATGTGGCCGAGCATATAAGTCACACAGCAGTTTAATTAGACATATGAGATACGAGTGTGGCGTCATTCCCAAGTATACATGTGACATTTGTGGCAGACGATTCCAACAACATACAACAATGGAGAGACATAAGTTATTCTGTGCCAACTTACCGCTTAATTTTCAATGTGATGTGTGCAATAAAATGTTTCGTCGAAGAGATAATCTTAAATCCCATAAGATCATTGTTCATAAAAGGTTCAATTGAGTTTTGAAATTTATTTGCGGCTACTTTTATTTTTTTTATTAAATATTTATTATAATGAATAATATAATTTTTATTTATTTGTTATGTATGTATTCATTTTTTTTTTGTACAAAAAATAGTTACTGAAGAACATTTCTTTAGTTAAACCAAATGTATAAAAATATGTGGTTATTCAAATAAAATATTATCTATTTACTATAATCATTATTAATCAACCAAATAAATTGCTAAAAAAACATTGAATGTGATAACAGTGTTTTCGGTGCAATAGCTGTGAAATTAAGTGAGCGATCGTGTATGAGGAATATTACATTATTTTACATATTATTATAAATTATTGTTTAATGGTTATGCTAAACTGCATAAATGCAGTAATTATGTTATAATTTTTGGTACTTTACCTTTAACATTAATATCAGTGCTTAACTTCTATTATTATATATTATATATAAAATTAATTATATTTACCTTTTATTAATCCGCGCACTAGACCACATACAAACGTATTACACCGTACCGCATACCTACTTTAACACTATAGAATGTGATTTAGCAGTAGCAGCATCAGCAGCAGCAGCTTGCTGTCGGCTTCCGCTTGATTAAAATAGTTTAAGTTGTTATACAATATAGTGAATACACAACGAGTACGTTTGTCTTATAAAATATTAATTTTATTAAAATTTACAGTTTGTCCGTTTAGTGGACGATACATCTGCCCGAATGCTTGCGGTCGAAGTTACAAGGAACGACACAACCTAAACAGGCATTTAAAAAAAGAATGCGGTGTCGCTCCACAGCACCTGTGTCATCAATGTTTAAAAGCCTTCAAGCACAAAGCTCATCTGACAAGACATATGCTATCTTGTTCCAATATACCACCTAGTTTCAACTGTAATTATTGTAAAAGAATGTTCAGATGTAAAGACTCGTTGAAGAAACACACATTGATGGTTCATAAAGTCTTTGATCAATACGTCGACTAGTGCACGAAAAAAAATATAGTTGGACCAATTATAGTTATAGCTAATATAGGAACAAAAAAAATGTATAGTTGGAATAAAATAATAATAAGATAGGCTAACTATATGTGTTGTTAAA